TCTTGGTCAGTTAGTATCAGATGCTATGTCTGTAGTCCTCTGCAGTCACCTTTCATTTTCATTCCCCTGAATAATTTAGTATCCTTTTGAGATTTTTTAACTATACTATTCATCCTCTTTTCTAAATAATTTATAGTATGTTGAAAAGCACGAGCCCTAGCACTGATCCCTGTGGAACTCGCCAGCAAACTACATTCATTGAGTAAGCTGTTCATTGATCGCTTCCCTTTACTTCCAGTACTTTACCCAGGAGAGAATTTCCTCTCTTGCCCCATGGCAACTTTGCTTTTCTGAAAGCTTTTGCTCAAATACTTTGTTGAAAGCTTTTTGGGCTATAGTTTTTCCCCATACTTCTCTGTTTCCTTGTGGATTTGCAACACTTACCTACTTTTTACAGAAATTATGTTAATTCCTCCCTAACACAGCATATTTATCCATTGGTCCACTAATTCTTTATTGTTTGTTCTTTATTTTGCTATCAATTACACCAGTCTAAGTGTCAGTCTCACCAGAGTACAGTTCCCTGGATAACCCCATCTCCTTTTAAAAAAATTATTTGTGTCATCTATGACACTTCCCACTATTCTGATGCCAAAGCAATTTTAATTAAGAAGTTAGATGCTTAGCATAAATAGTTCAACTGTTTCACCCTCGATTTGCTATTGAACTCCAGGGCAAACACTATCTGGCCTGGGTGATATGTTACTATTCATTTTGTCAGTATGTTTCGTAACCCGTTCTCTACTGATACTGCAATCTAAGACAGATCCTCTGATGCTTTTTGCCTAAAGAAAGATCTCAGCATAAGAGTTTGTCTTGGCTCCCCTGTGTAAACATGGATGCAGAAAAATAATTTATCTTGTGTTAGCCTTCTGAAGCTGAATTAGTGTTCCTTGTTATTGGGTTTGCTAGGTGAAGCCTATAAAGCCAAGATGTTTCCCTAGTTACAGAAAAGAAATGCTGGAGACCGCTGAATGTGCTTCAGACTTTGGTTCCTGAGGGATGAAGTTTCTTTTCCCTTGTAGTTAGCAAAAAGAGACAGTGTAATATGGTATCGCACAAGTAATTTCAGTATCAGTTGTCTTGTTTGATAATATCACTGTATGGAATCAAAGTGGTTTATGGTGACCTTCCATTTCTGCTCAAAGGAAGCCATTGTCAGCTGCCTGGAAGTCCTTCCTTTATCCCTACATTTCCAGCTGTCATCAATCAGATAAGCTTCTGCCCTTACCTTTTTTTTTGCCTAGTGGATGTGAATATCTGAGAAGCTGCTTTTCCAGTGCTGATCTACAAAAGGGAGGGGGGCTACCCCATGATTCCCAAATTAGCACTGCCTTGCCTGATCAGGGTGCCAGGTTTGGGGTACTAAGAGTAGGCTGGATGCATGACTGTAGACCACCGTTCTGGAGGGCAGGAGATGTTGTGCTGTACTGACTGACTGATAGCAAGCCGAATTCTCTACCCAGCTCCTTCCTAGGCTGCATCTGTGCCCTTTATTGCAAAGGCACATAGACACAGGGAGAGCAGGTACCTGCAGTAGTGCAGCCTCTTCCACCGGAAGAATACCCTGAGAAGCGTTCTCTTGCTGCCATCGTGTGGTTCAGTGGAACATTTCCTGCAAGTATGCTTGTGCTAGTGGAAACATCCCTCCAGCTTTCTCAAGACAGTCTTTGGGAGAAGTGGTCTTAAAACGGGAACAGGATTTTTTCCCTCCACTTGTTTGGGATCTGCTCAGCAGCAACTTAGGATTCTTAAATCAAAATTGTTTTATAGTTTCTAAACTTCTTAGTATTGGATTGAAATTAACTCTTTACTCTGTGCACTTGATGTTAAGATCTTGATACTATTTCTGTTTCTCTATATATAGAATCACAGAATCATTCAGGTTGGGAAAAAAATTTAAGATCATTGAGTCCAAGCATTAACATAACACTGCCAAGTTCACTGCTAAACCATGTCCCTAAGCACCATATCTACACAACTTTTAAATACCTGCAGGGATGTCGATTCAACCACTTCCCTGGGCAACCTGTTCCAGTGCTTGACAACCCTTTTGTTGAAGAAATCTTTCCTAATGCCCAATCTAAACATGCAACTTGAGGCTATTTCCTCTTGTCCTATCGTTTGTTACTTGGGAGAAGAGACCAACCCTCAACTCTCTACAATCTCCTTTTTGATAGTTGTAGAGGGATGAGGTGTCCCCTCAGCCTTCTTTTCTTCAGACTAAATAGCCCCACTTCCCTCAGCTGCTCCTCATACAACTTGTGCTCTAGGCACTTCACCAGCTTCATTGCCCTTCTCTAGATGCACTCCAGCACTTCAATGTCTTTCTTGTATTGTGGAGCCCAAAACTAAACACAGTACTCGAGGTGTGGCCTCACCAGTGCCAAGTACTGGAGGACAATCACTTCCT